GCGGGAGCCGCATTTTTGGTCCTATTAGGGCTTAAATGGATCAAAAATACGGCTCCCGCGGGAGCCGTATTTTTGGTCCTATTAGGCCTTAAATGCGCCAAAAATGCGGCTCCCGCGGGAGCAGTGTGGTCCTATTAGGGCTTAAAAGGACCAAAAATGCGGCTTCCGCGGGAGCCGCATTTTTGGTCCTATTAGGCTTTCAATGGGCCAAAAATGCGGCTCCCTAGGCCTGATAGCACCGAAAACTCGGCTTTGCGCATGAAACTGCACCCCTCAGCCCCAGTCATGCCTAGAACTGCGAAACCAATCGTGGTAAAATGGTTTTGTGTTGTGGTAAACAGAGTGCCTTTCTAATCGTGGTTATACCCCCTCCTCCGCGTGTTTTGGTGCATTTTCCCCCACGATCCCATTTCTTGTGACTGGCTAAGACTCAGACGCCTGAAGGCTCGTGCTCGTAGTTGCCCACATCTGCCCACATCATAGTGGGAGGCGCTACGGCCGTGAAACGAAGTAGCTTTTTTTGGTTGGCTTGTTTGCAGGCAGTCAGGATTGGCCCAGGCTGTGTTGACCGTGCCGATCGGCCCAAGCCACTTTTTTGTGCGTACGTTCTAGTTTTGTAAGGCCCTTAGGACAGGTCCTTGTCCTTTTCATATTGAATGAAACTGGCATCTTCACTGCAGAAGACCAGTGCCTTGGAGAAGCGCCTTGGATTTGAGCAGCCTGTTGCCTGTTGACTTCTTGCCCCTGGCCCTGCTTCCAGGGTTTATGTCCCCAGGCATTTCCACACCAAACATCCACTTCGCCTGTTCTACCGTGCTGCTTGGAAGAACTATTCCCGAAGAACTGTTGCGATTGAACTGTCACGCTTAGAAGTCCTCAGGCTACGGTTGCACTTGGTATGAGGCAAAGGTTCAGTTGTACAAGCCCAGGATGTGTTGGACGAGGTGGAGGGATGCAAGCTCCTCTGCCGCAGCTTGGGACTCTCAGCCTTGAAACCGGGTGCCGCCCGCCCAGACCTTAATTCTGACCTCAGCACCCACCACCTGAGCTGCCTTGAACTAAACCAGTATCAAATAATAATAGTAGTAGTAGTAGTAATAATAATAGTAGTATTACTGTCATATGTATATATGTATATATAAGACGATGGCAGGGGCTACTTCGACCTCTCTGCTGTTTGGTCACGCCTGGCCCCTTCTGGGAACATCTACCGCCTCAATGCGCTGCATGAGGCCTGAGCAAGCAACCACCTGACAAAATCACCACTCAGGGCAGATGAGATGAGACTCTGTGTGGAGATTTGCATGTCCCAGTATTTCCCCAGGTTCGCTTGAGGCACTGTGCAGATCTGCAAGCCCAGCTGCGAGACATGGCGGAGGACACCATGATTGACAATGACAAGCAGGGTCAGAAGCTCATGGCTGCTCACGTTCTGGTTACGTCCATGATTTAAGCTTCTTGCATAGTCATTCTCTAGACTTCATATGCTTTGGAAGCCTTTTTCATGATGCGGGATGCACACAAGCATGATGCGGACCATGATGTGGTTCAGGAGTACGCAGAGACTTTGGGAGGTACCCAGGAAGAGCGCTACAGCATGCTGGTAGCAGCTCTGAAGGAAGCAAAGGCGGGGCTATGCCGAAGTCGCAACCCGCTTTTCACCTTCCTCTCGGCTTATCTGGTCAGTTTCTGCTCTGCACTTGCAGGTAGATTTGGACGAAGCTGCTTGCCAGCAAAAGGATGCATGCTACAAGCTAGTGCCGCCCTTGACAGCTTGATTCAAGCCCGATATAGTGCATTCATACTCCTGGAGAGGCCTATGAGAGTGCTGAGAAGGGCTGGGAGCTTGACAGCTTCAAGACAACAGGGTTCCCACCGCTGGAAGAGTTTGTAGTGCCTGGGGTGCATTCAAGTTGTGCCATTCCAGAAACTACTGTTTGAGGCGGTGGTCCGAGGGAAAGTTGGCAGCTGATATTCCATGTCCGGCTGTTGCCCAAATTTCAGAAGCCAAGGTAGGTAATGTCAAAAACCTTGCTGGTCTCTGCGTCGTTCCTACGGATCCCGGAGCGTGGAAGGATACAGCGGAAACACACTTGCAAGCGCCTCATCCTCCAAAACCAAGGATTTTAGGCAATTGGTTATAGATTTGTGCTCTTCCCATATTTCCAAAATGTCCACAGTGGTTTGTGTGCACTATGCAGCCCTCGTGCTGGCTCCAATTCTTCATATGCACGGCTGCAGGACTGGTGCACGGCGAAACTTGTTGGCTGCATGGACTTTCTGGCCAGCTTGCCTGGTCGTGGTAGGTGTCCATGTGCGCATGAGACGTTTGCAACCTGTGGGTGGTTCTCTGGTTGAATTTCATTCGGCCCCGATGCAGCGCCAGGTCGCCGTCGTCCAGATCTTGGGTCCAGTGATGGTTGTGCTAAGCCTTTGGGAGGAGCCTCGGCATGCTGGGCAGTGGAGGTAATAAGCCCTACCTGTCCTCCGCTGCAATCCCACGAGCCCAGGATCCAACCAACTACTTGCAGCATCCCCTGGAGACGTTTGAGCGCCTCTCAGTTAGCAGCATCTTCTGCACCGACAGAAGCCGCGGAGAAACTTGGGCGATAGCAGCAAGCAGCCACCATGGTAGATGTAGTGACAGCGAGCAGCAGCGATTTTACAGGAGATTTAAAGACCAGCAGGTGCCAGTGACTGTACTAGCTAGTGATAACCTGGAATACTGGAATGAGGGCTCAGTTCAGATGGCTGCCAAACACCTGTTTTGCCACCCAGGAATGGTGCACCATTCTTATGGGAGTGGTGTTCTCCTTCTTTGTGGTTGTCCAGCTTTTGAACTATGCAGCACAGGAACTGGAGGCCACCTTTCTCAAGCGGCAGCAGTCGTTCGCCTGATCGAATGCCAGAATTCTGCAGGATGCATACAAATTTGGACGGCTGGCTGGCTGCGCCTCCTTCTGGGCATTTGCAGGCTGGATCCGCTGAAAGGACTTCCCCCCTTTGTTGAACTGCAACTGCAACCCTAAATCTGTGACACCGTTCACTTGCTGCTTGCCACTCCAAAGGTGGCTACATCAATGCATGGTGTGCAGGGCTCCCAGTGCTGCCATCTTTGTGGCTTTCCGCTGCTTGTTGACATTCGTCAAGAGAGGTGATGTGGAACATCCTGGTGTTGCCAGTATGCTTCTGGAAGCTGACTCATGCCTCCCAAGCAGCTCTGGCTTAGCTGGGTAGATTGATCTTCTAGGTATGGAGCTTTTGTCGTTTGTATTCCTTAGCAGTAGAGGGGTGCTGCAGCAGTATCTTTCCCTAATTAATATGGCGAGCGCCTTCACACCCCAGGACTGCTGCAAAGCAGTCATGTCAGAAGCACTTCTCAATTGCTGCCTTGAACTAGATTGCACAATTTGCAGCCGCTATTCTGAATCTCGAACTTGCTCCAGGTTGTGCTGAACGCGATGACGATTCTTTTCATGCCTGTTGGCGGCAAGGATGTAAGAGGTGTTCCTGAGGCCAGTTGTGAGTCTGGGTGTTGGTGATTCCCTCAATTGGGCTGGCAAGGTTCAATTTGGACGACCTGACAGGGACTGCTGGAGCAGTGCTTGGTACAAGTGACGCTCTCTTTCAACGTGGCCTGTGTTGGAATTATGACGCTTGGACGCAAGAAGCATACCTTCGGATTGCCCTCTGCTCCTGCGTTCGAGGGAGGATTTGGAGATCATTTGGATGTCGTTCTAAAACCACTCCTGTTGTAGCTGCTCGCGCAAGGGCGGGAGCAAGAACACAGGGGTTGGATAATAGCCCGCCTTCCTTATGTTATGTCATGAGTATCCCGAGACAGCGTTTGATCCGTAAAACGATAGGGAGTAAAAGAGAAAGACAAGGTTAAAGGAGCCCCCCAAACAAGGCAAAACGATAAGGAGTAGAAAAAAAATATTTACTTCGAGCATCCCCACCCTAAAGCTGTTATTGCACAAAAAAGGGGAAACGTTTCCCTCCCCCCCCTCAACTGTCTTCCTTGCAGCACTGCAAATGCGCTGCAAGAATATTGATACTCTGCTGTTGGGCACTCCACTCTGCGCTTGGGCACTGCAGGGATACTTTTGGGTTGGGCCCTGCAGGGATATTTGGTGTTGGACACTGCAGGGATACTCTGCAGATGGGCACCGCAAGGATACTTTGCAGTTGGGCACTGCAGGGATACTCTGCGTTTGGGCACTGCGAGGATACTTAGTG